ACACTGACCAACACAACACAACCCACAACCACAACCCATCATTGGCCATCACAACACAACCCACAATACTGACCAACATAACCCACAACACTGGTCATCACAACACAACCCACAGCCACAACCAACATCAAACCACAACACTAGCCAACACATCACCACCCACAAAACCACAACACTGGCCAACACAACACAACCCACAACCACAACACTGACAAACACAACAACACAAAAAACCACAACCACAACCTAACACTGGCCATCACAACACAACCTGTAGAACTGATCAAAACAACACAACCCACATCACTGACCATCACAACATAACCCATAACACTGACCAACACAACACAACCCAACTCAATGACCATCACAACACAACCCACAACCACAATCAACAACAAACCACAACACTGGCTAACATAACACCACCCACAATATTACTAAACATAACACAACCCACAATCACAACAACACTGGCCAACACAACACACATTAAACCATCGTCACAACCCAACATTGGTCATCACAACACAACCCACAACACTGCCAACACAGCACAACCCAAATCAGTGGCCTTCACAAGACAACCCACAACCACAACCAACATCAAACCACAACACTAGCCAACACAACACCACCCACATCACTGACCAACACAACACAACCCACGACCACAACACTGACCAACACAACAACACAAAAAACCACAACCACAACCTAATATTGGTCATCACAACACAACTGACATCACTGGTCATCACAACACAACCCATATCACTGACCAACACAACACAACCCACTACAATGACCATCATAACACAACTCACAATCACAACTAATAATAAACCACAACACTGACCAACAAAACACCACCCACAACATTGGCCGACATAACACAACCCACAACCACAGCACTGGCCAACACAACAACACATCAAACTACAGCCACAACCTAACACTGGCCATCACAACACAACCCACAACACCGACGAGCATAACACAACCACAACACTGGCCCATAGCATTGACCAGCACAACACAACCCACAATAATGGTCATCACAATACAACCCACATCCATAACCAACAACAAACCACAACACTGGTCAACAGAACACCACCCACAACATTGACCAACACAACACAACCCACAACCACAACACTGACCAACACAACAACACATCAAACCACAACCACAAACCAACATTGACCATCACAACACAACCCACAGTACTGACCAACACAACACAACCCACAACACCAACTATCACAACATAACCCATAACACTGACCAACACGACACTGGCTATCACAACACAACTCACTGTCACAACCAACAACAAACCACAACACTAAGCAGCACTACACCACCGATAGCAATGGCCAGCACAACACAACCCATAACCACAACACTAGCCAACATAACAACACAACAAACCACAGACACAACCTAACACTGACCATCACAAAACAATCTACAGTCACAATCAATAGCAAACCATAACACTGACAAACACAACAAAATCCACAACACATTAAACCATCACACCACACAACAACACTGGTCAACACAACACCACAACAATCCAACACTGACCAACCACAAATTCAGACCATCACAATAAAAACCCAACACCACAACACAACAAACCCACGCCACAACACAACAAACCCTACTCTTCTTCCAAAAATTCACAACAAATAGAAACACCAACGTCGCCACCGCCATCAGCACCATCAAATACCAACAGAGACATAAAAAAATCCAACAGAGACATCCAAATATAACAAAAACGATAAACCAAAATGACGTACACTAGCGAAAGATGATACCAGAGTCCGGAATGAGAGGTTACATTAGATGAAGCAAGAGATCGCAGGGGAAGCAAGAGTTCGGGGAGGAAGGTAAGGGCATATGACGAAGTTACCAGAGTCCGGAATGAGAGGTTACGTCAGATGAAGCAAGAGATCGCAGGGGAAGCGAGAGTTTGAGGAGGAAGATAAGGGCAGATGACGAAGCGAGAGATCGCAAAGGAAGGATCGAACGAAGGGGCAAGAGGGTAATGTATAACGTAAGAAATGCGGGCCGCACGGTTGAACCCACAACCCACATTTTACTTAAAACACCCCGCAATACAGTAACACCGCTGCCCCAAAACGATGGTTTTTCATGGCTTGAACACCTCCCCAAACGGGGCCTAAATGCTCACCTCCAGGTTTTGGTATCAATTGCAAATAAATTTAGCTCGAGCTTGTCTTACAAATAAAAAATCAAGCATTACAAACATTCTTGAACATGGCACGTTCAATGAACATGGAGAAGATTTTCACAAACAAACAATTGATTTTTAGTATATTTTAGCGTGAACATTGAGCCAATCTAAGAGTTCAAATTCTTCAACTCTCCATAGCCTCAATCACAAGTAAAAATCGTTACAAGGTTTGCATAATTTAAAAGCAGTAAAGCTTGATAAGTTTGACTTCTTACCTCTTAGAAGTTATTACAATGCACCAATTTTGCCTAATGACTCCCTTTTATTCTTATTTGACAAAATAGCCTTAAAATGTATATTTTTTAGATTAAAATACCACCAAGCAGAGATAACCCATGCATTCACTAACTGCGCGTTAGAGTTGTAAGTTTATATTGATGTGAATTTAATTAGCTTCAAATTTGTATCAATTTGGTTAAAATGCAATGAATGTTTCATAAGCACGAAAGAGAAATAAGATGCTGTTGCTAGGGGTGCAAATGAGCCAAGCCAGCTCGCAAGCCGGCGAGCCCAGTTGGATCGTCAACAAGCTCACGGGCCGAGCTTATCGGGACATGAGATCAAACGAGCTCAAGCTCGTCCTGGCTCGGCTCATTGGCTCGACTGCTAGCTCAATTAGTCTACCACTAGTCATTTCAATGCATTTTACTCCCGCTGCCTCCTCCTTCTCCTTCCACCACCAACACCTTCTTCGGCAAGCTCCCGTAAAACTTCAAATTTTAGTTCGAGCGCACGAGACGAGCTCTACTAATACAAGCCGGGCTTGAGCTCGCTATTCGATCTCGACTCGAGCTCATAGTTTGTCAGACGAGCCGAGCCCGCGCATTGTAAGGGATGAAAAATCAAAATTTTTAGAGTTTTTTTTTTGTCAGAATATTTTATGATGATAATATCTTCTTAAAAATATAAATTACTTCAATAGCTGTTGTCAGATCACTTTAATCTAAAGTGCTAATATTATTAGAAGTCTTACTAAATATAAATAAAGAAAAGTTTTATTTTTAGAAAATACGTCACAAATAATTGAATTAGCATGCAATTGTTTACATGGCTTAAATGCACATGTTTTTCAAATAAGTGAATATTCTTCTCTATCATGTAAGGCTGTTAAAAACGGCTTGTTGTTCGTGAATAGCTTGTGTCCGGCTCATTAAGTAGCTCGTTTTCAATTTATTCGCTGAGCTAATAAGCCGAACACGAACAATTTTCTTGAGCACAATATTTAAACGAGCAGAACACGACAAAATTTTATTTGTTCGTGCTTTTTAAATAGTTTAATTGACCACAACACAACAAAGATTTATAATCAATTAAAATTACTAATTAAAAATAGAATAAAATTATATTAAATTCCATTTAAATGAATATTTTATTATCAATAACAAGATTTAAATCTTGTCCTACCCTTAACATCCTATGGTTGTGTTATTAGTAAGCTCACTGTTTGTGAATAGCTCGTGTTCGGCTCAATAAGCAAGCGAGTCAAGCACAAACAAATTTTTTGAGCTTGATATATAAACGAGCCAAACACGAACAATGATATTTTTTAACAAGCCAAGTCTGGACTCGCTCAAACTCAGCTTGATTACACCCCAAACGGCTAAATGCATGACTAGGGTTGTCAGTATGATTTTTTATTCGCGAACAGCTTGTGTTAGACTCGCTAAACAATCGAGCCGAACACAAACAAATTTTGTGTCAAAATATAAACAACCGAACACAAACATTGGTATTTTTTAACGAGCCGAACACGAGTTGAGACCAGACTAGCTCATTTTTTACTCGTTTACACCCCTACTCTTCTATATAAATTACCTAATCAGAATACTTCCCCAATTTTTTTTAATAGATTTTTAGAACTATATGTAAAAGTATTCAAGACAAAACACAATTATTTTCCCCCAAAAAAAAACAAAATTGATAACATTAAAAAAAATTAAAAAATAAGAATTTACACATATACACACAACTTTTATATATTTATATATTATATAGAGATAATATTTATCCATTCTAATCTTATAAAATATCGCCGATATTCATTTCTAAAGTAAACGTATATTTTAATATGATTGAGACCTTATTTTTGGAAGATTTACATTAAATAAATATTAAATTTTAGATATTAAATAAATAATTAAGAATGGGTATATATTAAAATTTATGTTTGTACAAGCACAAAAAAAAAAATAATACGTGAAGTGTGTCACATGGCAAGTGGGTCTCACTATAATACACTGATTAGTTAGAAATTCTAGAAGTAGTGGGACACTCTCATTGAACTCAAGACACAAATTTTATATCTCTGGATGTAATAATTTTTATTTATAGGAGCTATAACTGTATCAAGATACTAGACGTAAATTTGTATCTAGAGTCCAATAAACACTTGTTACGTGGTGTGTGAACGGAAAAAAATATTACCTTAAGAGTAGTTATGCATGAGTACTCCAATGAGGAGGTGACACATATGCAATGATCCTATCATAATATCACATGTCACCTCTTCATTGGAGTCTCGCGACGTAATATTTTTTCATGTGAAAGCCACTCTAATACCCTCTAGATTTATAAAGGTTTTTGTGTATAATGCTTCTCGTCTTCATCAATGGTTCCTTATCGAAGAGGACGAAACTGTAATGGCGAGCTGGTAGCTAGCTGCTCAACCAGGCTTTCGCTGACACCGGCGACGGGACTAGCTCCGAGGGCAGGGAGTGTGGAAGAGGGAAGGAATGGCGACGTTGGGGAAGATGAAGCTCGATTCTGGGTGGCTGGCAGCTAGATCGACGGAAGTGGAGGCAACCGGAGTGCAGCTCACCACTACTACGCCTCCCTCTGGTCCTTCGTCTCCCTGGATGGAGGCCGCTGTACCGGGCACGTATGTGTCGTCTCCTCTATCATTCTCTGTCTCCCGCTTTTATTCAAATAATTGAATCGAAATGTACATTGCTTGCGGTATGAGTTCTTACTTCGTCAAGCTAAGTTTTACTTTAGCAATGCGTCATGGTTTTAAAGAAAGAAGATATAAAAACCTACTGAGTTTGGGCGTGTTGCGTTTAATGTTTTTGTAGCTAATAACCTGAAATAGGAGTTACAGATTTGGGAGTGGGATGATTGAAATCAGTGTCGTAAGCAGAGATTTGAATGTTGCAGCATTAATGGCTAAAAGTAGGTATGTTAGGAATTGAATATTGAGCATATCCTACCAGCTCATTGTTTGTTTAAAGCAATTCGAACAGCTGCCAATCTAACCTTTGCTCGAAATCAGATCAATACTTTTCAATCTACATCTCTAGTTGAGCCATGCCTAGTTATTCATTTATGCACTATTGCTTATTTTCATGAATTTGTGCATTAACAAATCCATATGTATGTATCTAAATTTATAGTGTGATTTTTTTTATTCCGGGCTAAGAATTTGTCATTGAAGATTCATAAATGGTAAAAATTTAAAAAAGTTTTGCTCCAATTAAGGCTGATTAGACTTCAACTTTAATAAAAATATATCTCTTACCGGGCTAGACTTAGCTATTGGCTCATTTGATCAGATTTTGAAGCATACCTGTATAAATTAATTTGATTCAACCTCTACTTGAATGACCCTTTATGCCACTAAGTTGGTTTGACTAAATGAATCCTTTTTCTCCATTGTGTCCAAATGAGTGTAATATTTTCATTAATTCGAATAAATTAAGATCATTTTTTATACAATATGCCCAAGTTTTTTTAGGTCCACCTCTACTTTTCTTAACATAAATCGAGCCTCTAACATCTACTCTCTAACCGGATCATTAGATGGTTAACTTTTAATGCGACCAAACTATCTAAGAAAACTCTCTCTAATTTTGTTTGCCACTGGAGCTACATTCAAGCTCTATTTGAATAAAAATAATATTTATATTTAAACCATTTTCAATCTTGAATGATAATTTTACGCCTAATATCCATAAATTAACCTATTCATTTTGATACATAAATATTTGTGTAAAATGATAAATACATGAAAACAAGCATAAATGCATGAATATATTTATGTTTTCATTTATTCATGCATATGCTATTTGATCTGATTTTGAGTTTGCTCTACTCGATTTATTCTTAGCTCAATTTAAGTTTGGTACAAGTCAGGCTTAGTTCATTAATTTCCACCAATCTTGAAGTCAAACTCACAGCCTAGGTAAAGATCATATATTATAATAAGAGGCATGGCATATTGAATAGTTCAAATCTGAAGCTTTATTGTCGATAATCTTAGTTTCAAAAAATTTTCTTTCCAAATGGATGTTTTCCTTTATCTGCATTGTCAATGACATCTAAATTTTTTCTTTAACTATATGCTTGCTGATAATGTATTTATGACCTTTAAGTATGGCAATACAATTTTTTCTGCACCAACTGCTATACTATGCTACATTTTGGTTTAAACCTTCTTTTTTTTTAGAGTTTTAGGGACGTTGTTGAAGAATAAACTGGTTCCAGATCCCTTTTATGGATTGAACAATGAAGCGATACTTGATATTGCTGATTCTGGGAGAGAGTACTATACATTTTGGTTTTTCACTACATTCGAGACTAAACTGGTATGAACCACTTCCTCATAGCATACTTTGTGCTCTGAATGATTTTTTATTATTAACAAAATCAGGCATATTTGACATTCACGTGCTTTGCGATCTTTATGAACTCAAGTTTATTGGGGGATGTGTTTTGGAAATACTTTAACATCTTTTAAGTCTTAAAGTATTTTTTGTCAAAAATAAGGAACGTCAGTCTGATCCGAATTTTATATGCTTACCATGTTAAACAGTCAAATCTTTGGTAAAAACATGTTAAACTTTTTAATTTTTAATTATCAAGCATAAAAAATTAAGTGAATATTTTCCATGAATCGTATGCTAAAGAATTTTTATTGCTAGCCATATAAAAGTGAAAATCATTCTCAGATTCTCATGGCTCTCCTGATGTGACTTCTCAGAGACATAGTAGTATATTAGTCAAGAGATCAAGATAATGCAACCATCGTTAATTTGTGCACATGCCATAAATTCATCTTTTTCCCATATTTTTATTTCATTCTGGTTTGACAACAACAACAAGCCTTTTTCCCACTAAGTGGGGTCGGCTGCATCAATTCTTTTCTCCATTTTGTCCTATTGAGTGTCATATTTTCATTTAATTGCAATAAATTAAGATAATTTTTTATACATCATGCCAAAGTCTTTTTAGGTCTACGTCTACCTCTCTTAACATAAGTCAAATCTAAAACATCTACTCTCCTAACTGGGTCATTAGAAGGTTGACGTTTAATGTGACCAAAAAATAAAATAAAAAAAGCCATCTAAGATGACTCTCCTTAATCTTGTCGCCACTAGAGCTACCCCAACCATTTCACGGATCTATTCATTTCACGTTTTTCTCTAACTGTAAAGCCACTCGTCCACCTAAACATTCTCATCGCAATAACCCTCAACTTAGTTTTTTGCTTCTCTTTTATATGCCAAAATTTTGCACCATAATGCATTGTAGGTATCACTACTATCTTATAAAATTTTCTATCACAAAATAGACCCGATGCATTCTTCCATTTCAATCATCCAACTTGAATTCTATTAATAACATCTCCATCTATATCACCACTTTGAACAATGGACCCCAGATATCTAAAACTTTCACTCCTTTTAATGACTTGATCACCCATTGTTACAACCTCGCCACTAGATCTAATACTTCTAAAATTATATTCCATAAATTTAATTTTAGATCTACTCAAACAAAGGCTTTTAGACTCTAAACTTGATGTCCATAATTCAAATTTTTCCTAAAGTTGATTTGCATTCTGGTGTTACTTCTACATATTTTGTGAACTTTTTAAGGTTAAAGATCTGCATTCTTTTGTTTACTCACTTGCTGGTCCATTCATTATTTAGATGGAAAATCAACATGCAGCTCTCAACTTTCGTGGAATCAATTACTCAGGGAAAGCATATTTGAATGGGCACGAAAGAATCCTACCAAAAGGAATGTTTCGAAGACATTCTTTAGATATCACTGATATTCTTAACCCTGATGGGAAAAATTTGCTTGCTGTAATTATCTATCCTCCCGATCATCCTGGAGCAATTCCTCCTCAAGGAGGTCAAGGTGGTGATCACGAGGTATATGCCATTTTTAATACAAATTTACCATTTCTCCACACCATATAGTTCTTCTTATAGTGAAGCTTCACATCAAGACTTTATCATATTTTATGTGTTATTGGTTCCTGAGAAATATTTTATTTGTTGCATTTGATCATTTAGGCTTTTGAAATGTCTATATCTATCTCATCAAGAATATGCAAGGATACAATACATCTATTAGAATTCATATCATACGAAAGAGCTATTTATATTTATGTTGAACTTCTAGAGCTCTTTTTTAACTTCTGTTTGTAGAGCTAAAATGTTTTAGTTTTTTAGGTGTTTGGCTGCAGGAAGGATTTAGCATTAATAGGACTTAGTAAATAGGGATTTATTAAATTTACCCCCTTGTTGGATTAATTAAATCTGGATTTAACATGAATTTGGTAGCGCCCTTTTAAAAAGATGTTTTAGTCGGATTTACTAAATCCAACCAAGTGTTAAAAAAAGAAAAACATAACTTTCATGAATTTATGAAATTTTGGATCTAAGATTCAAATTTTGCCTTTGATTCATGTTGAATCCGGAGTTAGTCAATCTAACAAGGAGGTGGATTTAACAAATCTGGATTTACTAAATCCTACTAATGTTAGATCCTTATTGCAGCCAAACACCCCCTAGGCAAAGTTCAGACCTTAAATCTGGAATTTCATAAATCTATAGAACTTGTGCTTTTTTATGTTTGGCTGGCTTTAGATATATTTTTGCATAAATATTTTGGTAATATAAAATTTTTAGGCTTGGCTTGATGCCAAATTTTGTTGCAATGAAATAAAAAGGAATGCTTTGCTGACATAATAAATTTAATCCATTTTTATCGGTTGAAGCTCAGAGGAGTTGTCTATTTGATTTGGGTAATAGGTATTGTTTGGAGTATTGTACTACATGTGCCTAATTTGAAAAGTTGAGAGTGTTAAATTAGTCTGAATGGACTAGGTTTCCCTTGGTGCTCAGCCACTCAGATGACCATCACTATCGCATCAGGCTTTCCCGCTTTAGATTTGTTTTTGTTATTCTCAGTTTTGCTTTAGTTATTATATTTTTTTTCTTTTTTGGGTTTGAGTAGGTATTTATCTATTGTCAGCTCAGTTTTATTTTCAGTCTGTTGCTTATTTTCCTTTCAACTGTATCAATTGTTAAACTTATTCATATAATGAAATAAAATTAATCTTTTCTTGCTTATTTTATTACTGCTTGCATGCAATATCTTCATTTGAGAATACAAAACAAATTCAAATCCTTTCATCATGCCCTATGTTGCCGAGGTATATCATCTTCTGAATCTGGTTTGTGACATATTGAGCCATGATTTGTGTCTTCATGGACACAACGTGAAGCTCATTCTTAAGCTAAATAACCTTGGCTCTGTTAGTGTCTTGGAAGCGCCATGTTGAGAATAAGAACATGGGGAAAGATGCTGTGCGAGATCATTGAGAACATGGCATATGCAGGATTAGTGAAGAAATACCAATGCTAGAGTTCATTGTGCATGGAGGTCAAGCACAAAAACCTTTCAATACAGTAGATGGTTTCAGAGTGTGTTATTAATAAGAGCTAAGATGAGCGTTTGTGTCACTCAGAGAATCCACAGTTGCTATGTAATTATGGTGGTGTTCTTGCAATAGCCAACCTAGCCATGCTATCTTTTAATCGAATTAGTTAGTTAATATCATCATAACTGGGAAATAATAATAGTAGATTAATGAATCCACCCTATAGTTTCTTAAATAGAATTTTCTTATAGCAATAACACCAACAAGCTAATGTATGGATACAATTTGAATTAAATGAGCATAGATCAAATACAACTGAACTAATAGCTTAAAAGAACAACCAAGGAATAATCATGGTAAAAATATTGTACATAAAAAAAGTGTCTGCATTGATCTTAAAGAGATCTAATAGTCTAGAAGAAAATAATACATAAAGGTAGATCCACTGTAAGGAGATCGTGAGGTCCACCTGACCGAACGTTCCAAGCCATGCTAGTCAAGTCCTAGGTCAAAATTGACTGAGCTAAATGGTGGACAAAAACAAACCATTCGATCAAGAAAGCGTCTAGCCATCCATTGCAGGAAAGCCGACCCAATGCGATAACATATCTCACAATGGAGTCGATCCAACGAAAGAGTATATTCCACAAAGTATCTCCGACCATCCAACGAAGACCCAAAGACCTCTCACCAGAGATCAAAGATTGTCAACCAGGTTGGATAAGTCGACCAAACCCTACAAATCAAGTTCAACAGATCGAGTTGACCTAGTTTAGCCAAATCAGCTAAGTTTAGCCAATTGAGCCAAAATGCAATTGGACGATAAATTCACACTTGTAAAATACTAGAAATAACCTTGTAAAAACATCACCAAATGGTGATAAAATATAATATCATTATTGTACCATCTCCTATATAAATATGTGAAGTATTTTATGAAGTGACGACTCTATTCATTATGTTCATCTCTTTCTTCTTATTTACATTTTATTTTTTCGATGTGATTCTGATTCACGGATATGATACTTTTGAATTCAACAAATATATATAATCAAATAAATTTATTAAGAGTGAATAGAGAGAAAATAGAGAACAAAAAAAACAACCATAAAATTATCGTTTGGCAGTTGTACGGTGGAAGGAGGAAGTAGAAAATGCGAAGAGAAATCGATGATTGATAATCTGTAGAAGAGAAGCATGGCTTTCGGTTGAAGGGAGAAAAAAGAGGGTAAAGTTAAGGGTTTGGCGGCTGCCATCTGAAAATGAAGGAACGATGAAGCAAGGAGGCTACAGTTGCTGTTCGGGTCAAAGGACTGCGACTAAAGCTTTGGGAGGAGGGAAAAGTGAGGCTGTGCACAAGTTGGTGTCGAGTGCGGGAAAGCTCGATCGGGAAGGTGCCAAAGGAAGATCGCGCGATTCGAGCATTGATGGGTGCGAAGGCAGTCGAATCATATTTCTAGGGTAAGCATCTCTACATGATGTGACTGACTTGCCAACACAGCAATTGTTGTTTCTGTGCATAAGGCCCTACTGCACAGTGCTTTTCTAGCATCATTTATCTGTGAACAAATTGATTGTGCAAAAGAGAAGGTTGTAGGTTTTCTTAATATTTACAAACGTAGAATAGGCTAATTTCATTTGCTTATCGTTTGGTTTGTTTACTAATCAACCCATGGGTAAAATAAGGATATGTTGCAGCAATTAAGTAATACAAATTTTTTTAAGACTTTTGAGATTTTTATTTCCATAAAGGCAGCATGGGCATTGGTCAAAATGGCATCATTAAAAATTCGTAGTGCTCATATCGATATGGAAAAACAGTCTTTGAAACTTCATCATTGATCTTCAATAGAAGATTGTGAGCTACATGGTTACATCTAAAATTTAGGTCTTTTTAACTTTTCTTTTTTTTTATTTTTTCGTTAGAATGTACAGCTCTATAAAAGTTTAATTAGTTATAATTTTGTGGTTTTAGCTTTTAAATGACTTATTATATGATCCATGAGTATTCAAGATATCACAAAACCTACATACCAAATGACTAAACATATGCTGTTGTGGAGCTAGTTAAATTGAAATTTTTTGGGCGGGCTGCTCTCCAATTCAAAACCTCTTAGGTCTGGATGATGAGTATGATATTACGGTAGCTTTGCAGTTTGAGCAAATTGTTAAAAGCTTGATACACTTCAGTTTCTCCTTTTTCCTTCCACGGGCAGTTTCTTTAATTGTAAGTATTTGAAAGTGATTGGATTTCACTTCTAGATGCAAATTTTGATATTTATTTGGTTCAAGTTGAATGGAAGGGAGTTATCATTTTAGAATTCATCTTAAAAAAAAAAAGTGAGCTTGACAGCTAGGAAGTTTCCTTTTACCATTCATAATAATTGACTAATAACAAATTAATGGGATGAACAGTTGAATATAACTTTTACTTATAATAATGATAAAATAATGAAAAAATGTTGTGAGGGTGAGTAAAGATAAGACTCGTTGCAGCACAAATAAACACATGATCTGACTTGACAAGAAGTGAGCTATTGTAAAACAAACCTTTATCATTTTAACTAATTTTAATGTGACTAGTTTCTGAAATTGAAATGCAAATACTTTCAAAAAACTACAGTGAAACAAACTTGTTGTCATTGTTGTACATTTTTTCAATTTTGATGTCTTTCTCTCTAAAATTTGCTGTCTTTCTCTCTGAAATTTTACTGTGACATGAAACTATATCTGATTTTGTGATAGTAAACAAATGACATCCACATGTAACATTTGTTTCTTTAACCTTATTTCAATTATTTTTATCGGTTTTTCATATACCTGGGCATTAAAACCACTAATATCCATGTCTTATTTTGCCTTAATATTGATTTCTAATTGTATTTTATGAAGTCATGCAAACAACAAAGCAATCCTGAGCGATTACGTTAAATTGCAAGAGGAAGGCACTAAAGGGAAAAGTAACGTAATCCTTTAATCTTCTTCACAATTGCACGTAGTAAATTTTGCCTGATTGATTTTTTTCATGAAAATTATTTTATGTTTTCTTGATAATTGCAAGCAGGAAAATATGCCAATCAGCATTGAATTATTTTAAGATCATCTTTGTTAACCAATTCTTGATTTCATTTATGTAAAATTTCCAATATCAATCATGAATCTTTGGATATTATTTCCGCTTCCATTTTACTATTGTTTTTCGCTGTCATGTATACTTGACCTGATTATCTTATTTTAATTAAAAAAAATGTTACTTTGCTTGTCACGCTTATGAAGAAGATATTGGAAGAACTGTGATTGCTTTTGGAGATGAGTAGCAAACCATAGAATGGAAACAATTGTTTTTAACTTGAAAACTGACTGCAGCATTCTGTTAAGCAATCAATTGTTTCTTTTCATTTACTTTTCTTTTCTTTTCTTTTTCTATTTTTATTTTTTATTTTTTTTTATTTACTTGAAGTCCATTTTTACCAGGACATAAATTACTAGCTTACACTGCAGCTTGAGATTGAATATCTAAATTTTTCTTGTTGATAGACTTATATTTTATTCATATCAGATTGGAAAGGATGTTGCTGCTCAGTATGTTGAAGGCTGGGATTGGATGACCCCAATAAGGTTGTTTTTCAGAATTGTGCACAATTTTGCAACATTTTTCAGTCTGTATATATTTTCGTGTAAATTAGTATTTTTCTTATTTTGTTAGGGCCTATTTGGGATCATTCTTTTTATATATTTTCTATTTTTATTTTTATGTTTAAAAACATATTTATTTAGTGTCTTTTCACATATTTTTATTTTTTAATTAATAAAATAATTAAAAAGGGTTCTCAAAAATAACTTTTAGATATTTTGATTGTTTTTTTGTAAAAAAGTTAATTTGTTTTTCAACAATAAATATAATTTATTTCAAATCAAAATATAAACAATATAAAATAAAATAAAAATTAAAATAAAAGGCCGAAGCTATCTAAAATAGCCTAAACATGTGTTTTTGGGTGGAACGCCAAAATACTTCATCAAAGAAGATAAAATATCTCGGGTTATTACAATAGCATGCTTGTTTCTTACTTATTGTGTAGCCACTTTCCATTTGCCTTTTTTTTTGGAAGAGCGTTTTTCTTTTTTTTTTTTTTGT